TGTTACTATTACATTACAATATAGTAACAGAATTATATTTAAATTGCTACTGCTACACTACTATTTTTTTAAAAAAAATGACACCACTACTATATTGCTACTATAATACTACTACATTGCTACTATATTGTTAAAAAATGATCACTTTCAGTAAAGAATCTCTGGATCCCTAAACATATTTAAAATAATTTTTTGGATCTGTAAGTCGATAATCGTACCTGATTTCTTTTGTGATTTTTGTGAAGTGCGTTGAATCAGAGATTCAAGATTCTGTCTCTTCTTTGGACTAGACCACTTTTTAGAGGATAATTTATTCTTTGGCTTTACTTTTTTTTTGATTTAACAGCATTGATAATTTTTGCAATTTCAGACTCAGTTAAGTCATTCTTAGAATTAGATTCTAATTCAGAACCAGAACTTGATTCAGAGTCTGAGTTGGAATTAGATTTATTATCAGAAGAGCTAGCATCGGACTCAGAATCTGAATCTTTAGTAGCTATATTAATCTTACCTTTTTTCTTAAATCTGCTTTTATTAAAACGTCTAGACTTGTTCTTTTTCTTATTTTTAGGACAGTTGCAGGAATTATGGCTTGTTTTATTACACTTTGAACATTTGCGAAAAGATTTTAAAACTGCATGTATTATTCGAGCTAGTTTTGCTTGATTGATATCCAAATCCTCGAATTGTTTTCTCAAATCTTCAATGAGATCATAGTCATAAGCTTCTTCTAGTAAATCTGTGTTATCAATAACATTATCTAAAAAATGGTTTATAGCAAAATTATCAGCTTTTTGTTTTCCTGGTCCAAGGGGTTTCTTCAAAGTTTGCTGTCCTTTAGCAATAGTTCCTTTCAAACCCGCTATAATTTTTTTGAAATTGTCTTGTGAAAGTGTAATTTGGTTCTCCTGAGGTTTAGAAGAGATAGTTTGTGAGACTGGTTGAGCTTGTATAGATGCCATAATAAATTTACGTAGTTTTTTATTTTATCATTGGTCATACCTGTATTGCTACTTTTTTTATAGGGATTAGGCACTTGACCTCCAGAAGGTGGGAATAGAAAATTGCCTTGTAGTAGTGAAAATTTTTCTGCTTCAACTAATGCTTTTGTAATATTATCTCTAGTATCATGATATTTAGTCATCATTCAAACATTGTATTGATTTATAAGATTTAATCCCCGAATATATTGCTCTCTCATTTTTGATTTTGGTAATCCAGCAAGTTTTCCGAGTTTTGATATTTTGACATTATACTCAAGTATTGACATACCTTCTTGCACAATCTGACCAAAGAAAAACAATTTTTTTTGTGCTTCAACCATGGGATAAAGATATTCAAGGCAGTATAAAAATTGTCCAAGAGTCATTTTAGGTGCAACAATTGAATTACCTGCACTAGCATTTGCATAATTGGCTGGAGATGGAGTTCCTATAGGTGCGGGATGCCCTCCAGCTATACTCCAATCTTCATTCCATGTATCCACTGGAATAATATTAGCACCAGTTATTGTATTATCACCTCCAGCATTATTTCTTACAACTAATACTTCTTCAAGAAACTGATTTGCATTAATACCTGTTAAGCCTCTATTATTTAATAATCAAATTGTATTTAAGGTGTTCATGCCAGTACCATCAAGAATATTATCACATTGCCAATTTCTACTTTTGATTTCATTCTCGAACCAGGTTTTTGCTTCACCAACCATATATGATATAGCTAAATCATATGCTTCTGTTCTACCAGCAACTCCTCCCACTAGTCCAAATTGGGTTATTCAGCTGCCGAATTACAGCCGATTAAATCCAAATTTATTAATAAAAGTTTATATCG